TATGAAATTATCACAATGAGGGCTATACAGTTTGTTCAGGTGTTAAACTACCTGCAATGACTGAGTTTCTTTTCCAGGACTCATGCAAAGGTCCAAGTACTGTGACATTCATTTGCAATCCTAGGAATAAAGAAGTGAGACTGAAAGATCCCTAAGGCTTTCTGACTGACCTACCTTACCTAATTAGCAAACCTCTAGACCCAGCTAGGAACCCTATTTATGAGGCAAATGATTCATAAAATAATTACACCCAATGTTCTCTTTTGGCCTCCACACTACTAACACACATACATGAATATGTATATATGTGAATGTATACCACCTCACACACAAACATACACACTTGAAAATGAAAGAAAATGTAATAATAAACTCATTATTTTATAAAATTAATATAAGCTAATGAAATATGAGAACGAGACATTTTTGTCTTAGCAAAATGAGGTTCTTAAATCATTTGCATCACCAAGATGATCTTAGGTACAGAATAGACTTCCTGAGCAGTTGAAACACACAGGAACATGGAGAGTCTCCTCTACTTAACTGTCCATATTTAATTCACACAAGATCCATGTTTACACTGCCTTGATCCATCACTTCGAGTGACAACAACAACTGGAGAAAGTGACAAAAAGAAGAATGGACAACAGTCCATGGAGCAAGAGTTGGGGCACTTTGTGAAGATAACTTGGCAGCCTTAGAGGCTTTGGTAGTAGCAACAGAGTTTGGCAATTGATCCCCAAACACTACATATGGAATTTGAATGTACGATATCCCAGTAGGCTCAGATATTTGTATACTTGGTGCCCAGATGGAGGCACAGTTGAGAAAACTGTTAAACCTTGGAAGGCTGACTCTGGTTTTAGGAAGTACACCCCTAAAAATAGGCTTTGAATGTCTATAGTCTAGTGTTATTTCCTGTCTGAGCTTTTGTTTTCAGATGCTTCCTGCTTCTGACCACGGTGCCTGATGCTTGCTCTCATGTGCTGTCACCATGATGGACTCTTGGAACCATAAGCCAAAATAAACACTTCCATAAGTTGCTTGTAGTCACAATGTTTTGTCACAGCAACAGAAAAATAGTTAATAAAGCACACTTGTTCAGCTTTAGGGAATTGTTTTCTAAAAATGAAAAAAAATCTGAGGTTTTAAAAAGAAAATAAATATTGCTACTTTTTGGATTGACGAGGTATTCCTTTAAGAAAAAGTATGTTTGCTCCATAAATATGGAATCATGTTTGTGGTCAGGCAAGGAAAGTATCCAAAAATGTCATCTAGCCATCAAGAATTACATTTATAGGACCAGCACAGTGACTTATCTGCAAAAGGCATTTGCTGCCAAGACTGATAATGTGCATTTAATCCCCATGATTTGCATAGCAAAAAAAAAAACTACTTCCCAAAAGTTGTTCTCTGACTTCCACAAGTGTGATATGGTGAACATGTGTACATATGTGTCTGAAGAAACATGATGGCACACTTTCATGCACACACACACATAATAAAAATGAATTAAATAATGGAATTGCTTTGAATAGATGTATATATGTGTTTGCATAAGTATATGTGTATATGTGTGTGGATGTGTATATGAATATGATGTATATATGTATATATGTTCACACACTTAGATGAGAGAGAATTCCAATACAAAAATGATTAACATTCTGAGAACTGTGTGAGTATCTTCCATATTTTCATGGGTATCCATCTGCCTTTGATTTTCTTTCAAGCACTCACCACCATAACAGTTTAGCTTTCTTCCATCTTGGACACCTTGGGTGACCCTGCTGTACTCAATAGATTAAAAAGATCATGGTTGCTTCTAGACTACAGAGGAGACTCAAGCAATGGACTCTGTTATTGACTGTAAGAAAAGAAGTCAGGCTTATAATGCACAAGATTAGCATGAGCTTGCTAGCTCTGATTGCGTGGGTATATAGCAGGCTGAGAGATTCACTTGTTTTGTGTTGCTGAAACCAACTGTGTCCCATTTGTAATAGACTAAGTATTGATTTCATTGATCCTTTTCCCGAGACCACATGAAAGCCTTTGTATTCTCTCTTTCCATGAACACTCAGACACCCCTTTCCATCTACCAAGTCATTACTTCACACCCTTTCATTTTATTAATGCTATGTGTACTGAGTGTTGAAACAATGGCAGATGAGCAGAGACCATCCCCACTCTCTTCCTACTAAATGTCTGCAACATTTTGTTGTTCTGGGAATGTTTCAGAATAAAATTAATACCCATAATTTAAAAAAGTCAACTTTTCAGCCAGTGACCTTTGAAAAATTATAAGGGAAATGACTTTATAAGAATTTCAATCTCCATTTTAAAAGCAGAACAATGTCCTTTAACCTCATTCAACAGTCTACGAAAGTAATGGAGCAACATTTCTTGGGTGAATCAATACTGTATTAAAGCAACGTGCTATCATTGAAAAGTTATGAATACAAAACAGGTCAATGATGAATTATTGTTGCTGCTTGGTGTCTTTCTCAGTTTTTTTTTTACCTTAATGAATATAAACATAAAAGGACCTTTTCCCTCTTAGATTTACCGGTGAGATACGTTGGCTCTCCATGCTTCCCTGTTAAGGTATTCTACAGCTCCCATTCAATGCACCACAGGCACAAAAGCAATATAAATAGCAAGACATCCACTGATGCTTGTTCAGTTTGTGAGAAAACTATTGAGGAACCCGTTCTTTAAAATCATTTTGCCACTTGTTCCTGCAGGAAGACAGCCTCTTCCTGCCACACTCCTGTTATTTGGTATCTAGAAAGACACAAGGCAATTCTTTCAAGGTTACTTAGCATAGACTAAGATATAACCTTTGAAATCCTTAGGCTTTCCAAAGCTCAAAGATATTGGATAAAGGACACTGGTAATTGAATAAGGGCAAGGAAAACACCTAAATATAAATTATATTTTGCAACAATGCAGGATTATTAAACGGAGTGTTGGCTATTGGGCCATATGTTAACAAATGCTTTACTAAAAGGAATTCAGTGACTTGGTGTTAAACTCTTTAAAAGGTTTTCCCCTATGATGCAAAGTGCTTTCATGTCTCTGTGTTTACCCAGAGGAAAAGTAAAATGCTCATGTGTGGTGATCAAGGGTTCTCTTCCTATCATCAGCAAATTGCTGAGGAGCTGAGTACTTTGTGGGTAACCAACAACACGGTGCTGTACGAAGCAGATCTTATTTCCAGTGCAGTACCAACTCTTTTGTGAAATCTCAAAATAATTTTTATTGATTAAATATGTGACTATTCACTTTAGAAAAGAAATGCTAGCCTTTAATCCCAGCACTCGGGAGGCAGAGGCAGGCGGATCTCTGTGAGTTCGAGACCAGCCTGGTCTACAAGAGCTAGTTCCAGGACAGGCTCCAAAACCACAGAGAAACCCTGTCTCGAAAAACCAAAAAAAAAAAAAAAAGAAATGCTATACTGCCCACTGCCAGTCACCATTCAGATACCCATAAGCCTAGTTTTTGCCCTGTCTTTTGCTAACCTTTCTTGGCAAGCCACCTTCAAATGGTAAGTCACTCCTTTGCTACTTCCAAGTGTGTGGCCATCTCCACACCCGCGGGCATGATTTCAGAGCTGTACCTCAAGCACAAAGTTTGTTCTGTAGTTGCCTTTACCTGGTAACTCATTTCTTCCCTTTCCCATTCTTTACCTCATCTACATCCATCTTCACCATCACAGGTCTAGCTCCAGTTTTATGAGAACCAAACCTGCTTGGCTTGAAATTCATTTTTGATTGTTGAAGTGCTCCCTTCTTCTCCCACCCTTTGCTCCATATTTTGACAGTCCTACATCCATAGAACAAGCTCCAGACTTGGTTTCAAGGCTTTCTTTTCCTGGGTCAATGAAACAAACAGCTTGTCCATCAGTTTTGGTTTACCTAACTCAGGTCACAAAGTTCATACACTAGCCAGGACTAAGGTAGGAAAACTTCACACACCTGATACACAGCCAAGGAAGTCCACATTCTCAAGAGACAGAACTATAAACAAAAACATTGGGAATGATTATCAAACCCACTAGTCCTGTAAAAGTAATCCCTAATTACAACTACCTAAATGAACCCAAAGGTAAAATTTGAAAGAATAATCGCCAATTCAAGAAATTTAAAGAAAACAATCAAGACCTTCACTGAATTTCGTTCGTGAAATTTAAATGCTTGAGTGATGTCCAAGAAAATTTAAATTACAGCTGAATGAAATGATTAATATAATTTAGGATTTGGAAAAATGAATTCCATAAAGTATGACGAAAATAACAAATATCAAAAAATATCAAAATATTTGCAGTCAACATACACCTTTCAATAATAATTTTAAATAAAAGTCACCTCAATTCTTGAATCAAAAGACAGACTACTTTAATGGATTAAGAAACAAAATCCACCTTTCTCTTTTCTACAAGGAATACATCTCAACTTTAATGATAGACATCACCTTAAATTGAAAAGGTAGAAAAATATCTCAAGCAAATGGAAGCAAAAAGAAGCAAAAAGGTTTTTTCATGCTGACATCTGGTAATAAGACTTCAAACTAGAATTTATCAGAAGAGACAAAAAAGGAAACTTCATTCTAATCAAGAAATCAGTTAATTAACAAAATATTCTAATACTAATCATACTTGTATCAAACTCTGATGAATCCAACTTCATTCATAAAGATGCATACTACTAGAATTAATAACAGAGTTTAAAACAAAGCCATTAGTAGTATATGATTTCAACACCCCACTTTTCCTAAGAGTTAGGTCATCTAAACAACAAAAAAAAAAGAAATCAGAATTAATTGACATCTTACAATAAATAGATTTAACAGATATCTACAGAATATTCCATCCAAACACCAAAAAATATCCACTCTACCCAGAAGCACAGACAAATTTCTCTAAAACAGACTGTGTGCTGGTAAATACAAATAAGCACTCACAAAATGTTAAAAAATTCAGAAAAAAATTGAAATAGTACCTTGATGAATTCATTAAATCCTCCCATCGGGGCTCAGGAAACTCTGTGGAAGAGGAGATCAAAGGATTCTAAGATACAGAGAACACTGATGAATCAAAAAAACGTTTTCTAGACACAACAGTATTGATGAACTAATAGAGATTGGTGGCACTCACAGGACCTATACAGGTTCAATGGAGACAGGGTTCCAGTGTTGACAAGGAAAATAGAACACAGTCTCTTATCCCTAACCAAGAAGCTCTCCTCAAGTGACACCTACTTGCAAAGAAAACATTGGTTTTCTCCACTTGGATATATTAGTTACACTTGAGGGTAAACCCGTGGTCAGTAGTGGACAGTGAACCCAAAACAAATTCAGTAGTATTTTTGAGACATTTTACTCACATTCCTTCATTTGTACATTCTTTGCTATTTGTACACAATGCAAACGTCAATGAATCAGTTGGGTCCTATTGCCAATGACTACAGGCAGCATAACTCCTGCATCTATTGTGTTCGGGGAACATCAGAAAAGAGGAAGCAAAAACAATTTGAAATGACAAAATAAAATAAAGTTTTCTAGGTGATTCTCATCCCCACTGAGGTTTATTAAGCACTGCGATAGAATGCAGGCCTCACAACTCAGACTCTCTACACTTCATTTTATTCTTAACATTGTTTCCTACTTATGTGCCTATAATCAGAGTAAGCTATTTACGATTCTCCTGGCAATTAGAAACATAGTTGGTTTTATGTCCAGATTTCTCTGAAAACAAAACATGGGATGAAATTGAAGAGCAGAGAATGCTTTTATTGACTCTCCTGGTCAAATCTTATTAATATGACTGCCAAGAGCTGTGAATTGCATTGTAGCAATCCCAGAAACAGGCAGCACAATTGAAACATTAGCTATGCAACTAGGTGAAACCTTAATTTCCTCAGCTGTAAGATGAAGGTATCCCTGTATTGCAAGGCTTATGGAGATGAGTCTAGACAGCTCTTTATAGCATCTATAGACACATTATCAGCAGCATCTGAGCCCATTCTGTGGTCCATGCTGGTTTTCTTAAGATTGAGAAATGATATAAAGAGACATCACCCTGTGCTTGGGATCCGCTACAGTGTCTGCCACACGCTGCTCATAAAGGATGGATGATTGATCGACCAACTGCTGGGATGAATTGCACTGAGACTGTAGAAAACCTTGCCCTTTTGACTTCTCCACTTGAGAGAAGTCAGCTGCTTAAGCATTATTGCTGTTAACAGAAAACTGACTGAGTAAGAAATGTCTTCAGTTCTTGCCACAAGCATTTATCCTACATGGTCTCGGCCTCCCCTCTTTCAGAATAGATCAAATCTTTCTAAATAGTTGACAGGCTGCCTTTAAATGGAAAAACTGGCTGCTAGCCACTACAGAGTAAGAGATAACATATACCTTTTTGATGCTCCACTAACTGGCAAGGTGTGTAGAAGTATTAAAAATACTGGAAAAATAAAAGTTAAATGAATCAACCATTTTATTTTATTTCCAAACTGACAATACTAACAGTAAAGATGGCATTATCACAATAGTCTGAGACCTGGAAAGAAAAATCTACTTAAAATGAAACTTAATTCTACTTTAGAAGCCTGTTATAAGACTCTTGAAAAGAGTCTGCTTCTATATGAACTCTCCACACTACAGTCTAACTCCCAGGTTGGGCAGGTAGTACGTGCAACAGCTGCCTGGTGGGAAAGCCAGAAAGAACCACAACATGGCTCCAGACTTACTTTGTGTCCTCTCCATAGTGGATGATGTAGTGATGAGCTGCGGGCAGGCCTGCTTTTCGTCCCACCCGAATCTCGCATGGTTAGCTTTGCACCCGAAATAACAACACACAAACTGTATTCACGTAAACACTGCCAGGCCCATTAGTTAGAGTCTCTTATTGGCTAATTCTAACATCTTGATTAACCCATTTCTGATAATCTGTGTAGCACCACGAGGTGGTGACTTACCAGGAAAGATTCAACATGTCTGACCTGGTGGCTGGCTCCATTGTGTCTGCCTCACTGCTTTCTACCCAGCATCCTGTTCTGTTTACTCCACCTACCTAATTTTCTGTCCTATCAAAGGGCCAAGGCAGTTTCTTTAGTAACCAACGAAAGTAACACATAAACAGAAAGGCCTCCTCCAGATTTCCTGCTTTTCATATAAAAAAAAATCTACTACAAAAGCCTGTATGCCACAAAACTGGAAAATGCAAAAGAAATGGACATTGTTTTTTAGATAAGTACCATATACCAAAGCTAAACCAAGACCAGGTGAACAATCTAAATAGACCTGTTAGTCGCGAAGAACTAGAAACTGTTATCAAAAATCTCCCTTTCAAATAAAGCCCAGGACCAGATGGTTTCAATGCAGAATTCTACCAGAACTTCCAAGAAGAGCTAATACCTATACTCCTTAATGTATTTCACAATATAGAAGCAGAAGAGTCTTTGCCAAATTCCTTTTATGAAGCTACAGTTACCGTGATACCAAAACCACACAAAGACCCAATCAAGAAAAAGAATTACAGGCCTATCTCACTCATGAATATCGACGCAAAAATTCTCAATAAAATACTGACAAACCGAATCCAAGAACACATTAGAAAAATTATCCATTATGATCAAGTAGGCTTCATCCCAGAGATGCAGGGCTGGTTCAACATACGTAAATCTACCAAAGTAATCCACCATATAAATAAACTGAAAGAAAAAAAACCATATGATCATTTCATTAGATGCTGAAAAAGCATTCCACAAAATTCAACACCCCTTTATGATAAAGGTCTTGAGAGATTAGAGATACAATGGTCATACCTAAATATAATAAAAGCTATTTACAGCAAGCTGACAGCTAACATTAAATTAAACAGAGAAAAACTCAAAGCCATCCCACTAAAATCAGGAAAATGACAAGGATGTCCACTCTCTCCATACCTCTTCAGTATAGTGCTTGAAGTTCTAGCAATAGTATTAAGACAACATAAGGGGATCAAGGGGATTCGTATTGGAAAGGAAGAAGTTAAGCATTCATTATTTGCAGATGATATGATGGTATACATAAGCGACCCCAAAATCTCTACCAAAGAACTCCTACAGCTGATAAACACCTTTAGTAATGTGGCAGGATACAAGATCAACTCCAAAAAATCAGTTGCCTTCCTATACACTAAGGATAAGGAAGCAGAGAGGGAAATCAGAGAAGCATCACCTTTCACTATAGCCACAAATAGCATAAAATATCTTGGGGTAACTCTGACCAAGGAAGTGAAAGATCTGTTGGACAAGAACTTTAAGTCTTTGAAGAAAGAAATTGAAGAGGACACCAGAAAATGGAAAGACCTCCCTTCCTCTTGGATTGGGAGGATCAACATAGTAAAAATGGCAATTCTACCAAAAGCAATCTATAGATTCAATGCTATCCCCATCAAAATTCTTCACAGATCTGGAGAAGACAATAATCAACTTTATATGGAAAAACAAAAAACCCAGGATAGCCAAAACAATCTTATACGATAAAGGATTGTCTGGAGGCATTACCATCCCTGACTTCAAACTCTATTACAGAGCTACAGTATTGAAAACAGCTTGGTATTGGCATAAAAACAGAGAAGCCGACCAATGGAATCAAATAGAAGACCCTGACTTTAGCCCACAAACCTATGAACACCTGATTTTTGATAAAGTAGCTAAAAGTATACAATGGAAAAAAGAGAGCATCTTCAACAAATTGTGCTGGCAAAACTGGATGTCAACCTGTAGAAGAATGAAAATAGAGACATATCTATTACCATGCACAAAACTCAAGTCCAAATGATTAAAGACCTCAATATCAGTCTGAACACACTGAACCTTATAGAAGAGAAAGTGGGAAGTACTCTACAACACATGGGCACAGGAGACCACTTCCTACTTATAACCCCAGCAGCACAGACACTAAGGGCCTCATTGAATAAATGGAACCTCCTGAGACTGAGAAGCTTCTGTAAAGCAAAGGACACTGTCACTAAGACAAAAAGGCAACCCACTTACTGGGAGAAGATCTTCACCAACCCTGCAACATACAAAGGTCTGATCTCCAAAATATATAAAGAACTCAAGAAACTAGACTGTAAAAGGCTAATCAACCCAATTATAAAATGGGGCACTGAGCTGAACATTGAATTCTCAACAGAAGAAGTTCAAATGGCCAAAAGACACTTAAGGTCATGCTCAACTTCCTTAGTGATCAGGGAAATGCAAATCAAGACAACTTTAAGATACCATCTTACACCTGTCAGAATGGCTAAAATAAAAAACACCAATGATAGTCTTTGCTGGAGAGATTGTAGAGAAAGGGAGAACTAATCAATTGCTAGTGGGAATGCAAACTTGTGCAACCACTCTGGAAAGCAGTGTGGCAGTTTCTCAGGAAATTCGGGATCAACCTTCCCCTGAACCCAGCAATACCACTCTTGGGAATATACCCAAGAGAGGCCCTATCATACAACAAAAGTATATGCTCAACTATGTTTATAGCAGCATTGTTTGTAATAGCCAGAACCTGGAAACAACCTAGATGACCCTCAATGGAAGGATGGACGAAGAAAGTATGGAATATATACATATTAGAGTACTACTCAGCAGTAAAAAAAACAAGGACTTCTTGAATTTTGCATACAAATGGATGGAAGTAGGAAACACTATCTTGAGTGAGGTAAGCCAGACCCAAAAAGAGGAACATGGAATGTACTCACTCATATTTGGTTTCTACCCATAAATAAAAGACATTGAGCCTATAATTCGTGATCCTAGAGAAGCTAAATAAGAAGGTGAACCCAAAGACAAACATATAGGCATCCTCCTCAATATTAACCTTCATCAGGCGATGAAAGGAGACAGAGACAGAGACCCACATTGTAGCACCGGACTGAAATCTCAAGGTCCAAATCAGGAGCAGAAGGAGAGAGAGCCCGAGCAAGGAACTCAGGACCGCGAGGGGTGCACCCACACACTGAGACAATGGGGATGTTCTATCGGGAACCCACCAAGGCC